ACTTTTTGGCAATGGAAACAAATTTTATAACCAATTGTGGAAAAAAAAATCACTTTAATGGACAATTTCCATGTAAAACAAAGCCAAACGAATAGAAAATTTAAAAATTTTCCGGATGGAAAATTATACAAATCAAACACACTTAATTAACAATTCTCTTTAAAACATTTTTAATCTAGTCTTTTAGATACGAACTTCGAGCCCGTCTGGAGCTTTCGAAATTCAAAAGCAGTTTTTAGATTCGTTTGACTAATTTTATAAAATTCTACATTTTATAGGAATTTGGTATAATGTGACTTCCTCTAAAAGCACGTTTGAAATATGAAACACTTTTAAAAAAATTTGGTATAATGTGACTTCCTCTAAAATCTCATTTGAAATATGAATCTCTTTTAAAACTTAGTCTCCAAACAAAATTGAGGTGGCTTCCTCCAAAAATTATTCAAAAACTATGCCAAACTGGCACTTTTATAAAATTCATAAACTTTTAGCTTCCGTTTGTCAAAAGTTATGAATAATTAAACTTTATTTTCAATCACACGTTCCAATTAAAATACTCTTCACTGACAATTCACTCGCCGTTATCAATTTATAAATTAAACTATATACAAATTCTTTTCAAACAAATATTTTCGTTGATTCTACGAAATTATAAAAGACTTTCAAATATTTTTGTACACTTCATTTTTGAAGACTTCCGTAAATGGTCTAATTGATTCCTTTTTCTCCGATAATGTAAATTTTCATAAACTTCGATAGACTTCAATAAATTTGGTAGATTTTCATTAAAACGAAAGGTCGTGTCTAAAATTACAAAAGTACACATTACAATTACAAAAGGTTAATCATGAAAGATTAATGTTATATCGAAATGTATTACGTTGCCAGGACAATATCACAATTCAGACACACGTGCCTACTAGTAATGGACATGTGATAATATTTGGATCCTTGTTGTTTTAGGAGAATTTTCATCTTTCCTTTTGAGAACAGAAAGATACATTCGGTTTGATTTTCCAAAGTTTATAGTCATGGTTCGTCCTGGTTCATCAAATGAGTTTTTGTTCTGTTTTCCAAGATGGGTAATTAGTCCCTTCAAATAATTATTGATTTTGAGAGAAAAGTTTAGAATAAAAACAGAGTTGAGGAGTTCTCATATATTTTCTATCATTTACAAATCATGCACGTTGCCATAATTTTGTTATTTAAACTAAAGTTTTGCGTTGTTCGCCGTACTCTCAACTTGATTTTCACTATTTAGAAATGACTAAATCCCTATTTTGTTAAGTTAAAAAACTGATTAAAATCTAAGTCAATAATTACATTCACTCGTTTCATGTGATCTACATCTTTTCAACCACACATTATATCGACTTTTATTGAAATCTAATAAAAATCTAAACCAAATAGGGGCTATGTATCATTTAACCATAATTGTGTAGTTGGTGTAAAAATATGCAGTCTGTGTTCTTGCTACACGTGTAAACATTTCAGTAAAGTAAAATTCAAACACTCAAGAGCATTCTTTCGCGACTACACTCCTTCGTAGTTTTTAATAGAAACGCCTTCATGATACTTGATTTTATAAATACCTTGTAATCAATTAGTCTCTTCTTTTTTCTCGTATCGACGTGCTCTTGGTTGTTGTTTTTTACAGTTGTGAACATTTATTCCTTAATTGCTTTCGTATAACATTTATTTAGAAGCCTTTTCATACATTCGAGGTACATAATTGAATAAATAAACTTGCATAAACCAAAAATTTCTCTAAGCAATAGTTGTTTGTTCAACATTGCTAACTCGTGAACGATACTATTAAGGGATATTGATTAGTATAGTTCTTTTCTTCCTTACAATTGCACCAGAGGGGAGTACAAGGATCTGCTGAAAAAGCTTAATATTTGAGCCTCGGGGACCTCACAAACAACCCTTGCTACATGCTATAGATAGTTGCGACATCGTCATAAGCAATCACGAAACCAACCAACAACCCACACTTTATCATAGGTAACCGTAACCCCTATCAGTTGCAGTCAAGTAGTTGCAACAACCAACAAATCGAATCAATGACAATAAGTTGTTTTAGCTATCGAATCGTGTGCATGATTTAGAATGCCACAAACGTAATTTAGCCAAGCTCAAAACAATCAATCGAGTATTGCAGGAGTAAAATAGCCAAAATAATGGACGTAAATAACCAAGAGATTCAAATTCTTAACTTGAGATTTCATTTTATCATTCATGGGTTAAGACCTTCTAGCTCGATGATACTCGACTCATGTTGATGTCGACCATAATTTATCTTCTCATGTCAACTTGACTGAATTAGAGTTCAATGTTCATTTTGAGTATAACAAGAGAAGATTAAAAAAAAATAAAATTGTGCAATTATGCGATTTTTTCAAAAATTATGTGGATTGCTAGTACAAAAACGAAGTTATTCTGCACCGCGTAGAGTTAAAAGAATCCCAAAAGGTCGACACTAACTCCAAGTCGTCCAATTACGTAAACAAACCAATACATCAAAGCCACGTGGATGACCCAACCAATCAGGAATCAAATTGCCCCATTAGAAAACAATATCGCACGGGGGACGAATCCGTAAAAAAATAGAAAATTTAAGGACTAACAAGGAAAGAAGGTCGTGTACGGTTTCTATTTGAATCACCAATTTAGGTTTGAACAAAACCCTCTTCGAGTCCTCTCTTTCCACCCCTTTTGGATAAACCCAGACCCTTAATTCTGGTGGCGGCTGATTCTCTTACCTCTTCTTTCTCTCTCTAAAACCCCATATCTATCTCGAAGAAGCGAGATCTATCAATTTAGAGTCCATGGCCGCCTTTGCCCCACCAGATCGTATCCTTTTTAGTTTGTTTCATTTTTTTGGTACCTGAATGACTAAATTTGAGTGAGTTTGGCTATATGTATATATGTGTATTTGCACAGTTGTATGTTTGAGGTTTTGTTGGGGTTTTTTTTCGTTTGTTTATTGTAGATCTGAGTGTTTTGAACATCTGGAAATTGGGGTCGTCTATTGTATTGCCTGTTTATCCTTGTTGTTTCATTATTATTTGTTATGTTTGGTATTTCGGGGAGGTTGTCTAGTATGGAGATTTGAATTTGTGTTGTTATGGTAAAAAGTAGTTTTGGGCTTATAGAGATTAGGTCCTTTTCGCCAATTATTCGGACTACTTTTTTTTTTTTAAAGGATAAAATCTTTCAATTTGTTCCGTCCTGTTGATTCCAATACGTGGAATTGAGTAGCTCCGTAAGCTTTTAGTTTGGATCTATTTGGATTGAATTTAACTAGGCGTACTACTTGATTGATCTATTGATTTATGATTTGGTTATAACTTACTTTAGTTTGTATTGACATGATTGGTATATCACAAACTACTTATAGCGATTGCTAGGACTTTTTGTATCCTTTACTCCTGATTTAGAGGCTGCTGACCTGCTACAGAAACTGACTTTGGACCCACAGGCGAAGACTCTGGAAATTCCAGAGCCAACCAAAAAGGTTAATATCTATGTTTGGTGTTGAAATTTTATCTATACGAATGGCTGCATAGCCTGTATGAGTGTAATTCATGAAGTTGATCTTTTCTTTCAGCCATCTGTTGATTCTGGCAATGGGACCAATGGACAGCTTCACTCACGGGATGGGGCATTGACTCCCATTCTATCGGATTTTATTGATCCGTCTATGTGCTATCTTCCTAATGGCTACCCTTCTACTGCATACTACTACGGCGGTAAGTTCATTCTTTGGGAATTTTACATAATGGATGTTCTATATCTTATCAAATTAGGACTCAACGTAATAATAGCTATTAATTGTACATAGCTTAACAATTCGCTTCCTCGAAGCTGGTAATATTTTATTTTTTCTTAACTTTATTTTTTCATTCATTTGCAGGCTATGATGGGACTGGTAGTGAGTGGAAGGATTACGCACCATATGTGAATTCAGATGGAGTAGAAATGACACCAGTATGTTCTCTTATGTACTTGGTGTTATGCAGATAATGATGTGTTAGTGTTGCTTGTGATGGAATTTCTAATTTGTTTATATTCAATGCACTTGTGAACTTTTAATCCTTTCCTCACCTGTTTTCGATTATTAGCCATGGATTGGTCATACTTCATTTTCTAATCTTGATTCTTATGTGCCTTTATTGAACCATATCAGGGAGTTTATGGGGACAATGGGTCGCTAATGTATCACCATGGCTATGGCTATGCTCCTTATGGCCCATATTCTCCTGCTGCTACGCCTGTTCCAACTGTTGGACATGATGGTCAACTATATGGAGCTCAACACTACCAGTACCCTTCTCCCTATTTCCAGTCAGCAACCAGTGGTCCGTATCCTACTCCAGCTGCCTCTGCCAAGGGTGACATATCAGCCTCTGCAGCTGCTGACAAAGCTCCTTTGTCAGTTGCTTCTGCTGATGCAAAACCTAATGGCGTTGCAAATAGCGGGAGCACAAAGAAAAATAATGGCTCGAATACTGCCAAACCATCATATCAAAATTCATCTTATAGTTATAATGGCACGTATGGACGGGGTGGATTTGCTGGAGGAATTCCTGCTTCTGGTTATCAGGACCAAAGATTTTTATTTGATGGTTCACGGTCACCAATTCCATGGTTAGACGGTTCCTTCATGTCAGATGGGCAGCCTAGGCCAGTAACTAGCTCTTCTATGACTTCGTCCCTACCAAATGGAAATGGTGTTCCCTCATCAAGGAATCAGAATTTCCATCCTCATCTTATGGTATGTGATAATGTTCTATTGTTTCAAGTGTGTCAGTTTTTTTTTTTAAATATTATAGTTGTTCCATTTGTTCGTAACACAGCAGGTTACTGTTGTGATAGCGTATCCTATTGATTGCACGTTTATCTCTTGCATTATTTAAAATTGGTTGCAAGGCCCCAATCCTTTACTACAGGGAACACTGTAGGCCTCTTCCCTTCCATCCAGATTTAGATAGAGGGAGGGTAAAGCTTTTTCTTCTCAATCACACTACGAGAGTATTTCACAACAAAAGAAATGTAAATTAGTGCTCAATAAACTATTTGTTCCGTCTTTGGAATTTTATGATTGTTCAGTGTCTTAAATTAGTTATCATCTTTAGTAACATATTGGAATTTCAAATATTTACCTGCAGGGTTTGCACCACCCAAGGCCGATGTCTGGTATGAATACAGCCAACGGATACATAAATAGAATGTATCCCAACAAATTATATGGTCAGTATGGAAACACATACAGAACTGGGTTGGGCTATGGATCTAATGGGTATGAGTCACGAACAAATGCTCGTGGTTATATGGCTGTTGATAACAAGTATAAACCCAGGGGAAGAGGAAATGGCTTCTATGGATATGGCAGTGAGAACATGGATGGTTTGAATGAGTTGAACAGGGGACCAAGAGCAAAGAGCTCCAAGAATCAGAAGGGTGTATTGTCAGTAGATCCGGCTGTCAATGTGCAAAACACCTTGACTGGAACAGTTGATAGCGAGGAGAAGTCAAGTGTGGCTCCTAATCGAGAACAATATAACCGACCGGATTTCCCTGGGACTTATGCTGAAGCAAAGTTCTTTGTTATCAAGTCGTACAGCGAGGATGATATCCATAAGAGCATCAAATACAATGTATGGGCTAGTACACCAAATGGTAACAAGAAGCTAGATGCAGCTTACCAGGATGCTCAGCAGAAGTCCGGAGGCTGCCCTGTTTTCCTTTTCTTCTCAGTAAGCATCTGCGCCAAACATGGGGTTATCTCTTGATTTTAATATTTGTAACTTATATTTTTTTTTCTATTCGTGTAGGTAAATACCAGTGGGCAATTTGTCGGTGTCGCGGAGATGGATGGGCCTGTCGATTTCAACAGGAATGTTGAGTACTGGCAGCAGGACAAGTGGATTGGTTGTTTCCCTGTTAAATGGCACATTGTGAAGGATGTACCCAACAGCTTGCTGAAGCACATCATCCTAGAAAACAATGAGAACAAACCTGTTACTAATAGCAGGGATACTCAGGAGGTACACTGTTGCTTAACTGAATGACATCTATATTTGATTATCGATAGTTATACTATTCATTTGTATTTTTGTGGTTGCAAGAAATAATCAAAACAAATCAGTTTCCATATATTAAAGCTCAAAAAGTTCCCTTTTCAGGTTAAATTGGAGCAGGGGCTTCAAATGCTCAAAATATTCAAGGATCATTTGAGCAAACAATGTGTCTTGGATGATTTTGAATTCTATGAGGATCGCCAAAAGAGAATTCTGGAGAAGAAAGCTAAGCAACAGCAGTTTCAGAAGCAGGTATTTTATTAAATATATTATTTTGTTTAGTTGGGTTAGTTTTTAAGGATTTGGGGCCACTATGGAATGCTTTTCCTGTTTAGTGAAAATGATCTTGATGTACCTGCTTTTTTGTACAGACGCAGGTATGGGAAGGTAACCCAAATGGAGAGATTAAATCTAAGTCTTCAGAAATTGCTTCTGATGTGGTCAAGGAGACTACAGCAGTTCAGACTAATGGGGATGACAACCTTCCCGATAATAGTTCTCTTGCAAAATCTGATGTCCCCAAAACTGTACATCCTGATGTGGTTGCAAATGGTAGCTAGATTCAGCCATGCACCAAGCGGTCCATGATCTAATGGGGTGTGCATTTACAGAGATTGCTCTGATCAGAATATATGAAGGTTTAGATCCCCGATGAATTGGGCCGCCTTGTTCAGTGTCTTGCTGCATAAGAAATTATTACTCAATTTCATAAGCCTGTGATAAGAGTCTGAGAAGATGTTCTCGTAGTTTGGCAAGGCTGAGATCAACTTCTAGGATTGAATGGAGTAGAGTCCCATTTTTCCTTGTGATGGTCTCTTTTCTGTGCCTTAGCTTCTAACAAGTTTTCTTGTCCCTAGGGGGTAGGTGGGTTGGTTTTAGATGGGGTTTTATTCTCTTTAAATTTTGTTATAGCCTTTTCTCTTGGTCGGTTTGTTCTTTTTTCCTTCACCTTTTCTCTGGCTGTTACGTCAATTACCTTCGTGTGGCATCATCCAATCTTGTAATCCTAGTTCTTCTTTTGGGTCTGTAAAAGAGAGCTGGAAAGCAAGGTGGGAGAGCATTGCAATATAATAGGTAATTCAAGCGTTTTTTATAGTTATCTTGATTGTGTCATTTCGCTTAACAATGTTCTCAATGTTCTCTGTGATGCAAATTCTGATTTCATGTTAATCTTGGCAAAATGTTGGGAAAATAAAAATTAGATCAGATGCAAATGGGTATTGTTGGCCTTGCCCCTTGGGGTGGCTGCATTTCATACAAGCCATGTTTACCTGTACTGGATTACAACGATACCAAACCTGGCTTACTCTATTGGTGCATAATTTGTGTTCAATGCTAAAAATGCTGATTTCAGTATTCATACGGTCTCAATAAAGAAAATACTCTCTGCAAGCAAACCAGACATCCAATTCTCAAGGCGCCACCAACATTGTGGACACAAAACTTTCGCACAGCATGACAACGAAACTGAAAACACATTCCGTTAACGAGGTACACTAAATGATAAAACCAACAAAACATGCATATCAAGAATGGTAAAAGTGATATTTGTTCAAATCTTATCTCACATTATTTAAGCTTAAAGAAGCTAAAAATTACTCGGGAGTTTGTTAGCTTTTACAACTTGACACACTTTCCAGATTTCATCAACGTGCATTACACACTGATTTCGAAGATAGGGGATTGAACAACTTGACACACAAGACCTCATTACAATTATAATATATCTGAATTCCCACAAGAGCTGATTACTAATCCCCGAATATTTATAAGTTATAGCCCATGCCAACAAAGGCAACGCATGTACTCTCCACGCAATCATTCAGGTACGACATCAATCTTCTCAATAGATCTGTAACAAAAGGAGAAAAGTGAGAAATCCAGCCGAGGTGTACAATCTCTTTTCAGAGAGAGAGAGAGTGCAATGGATAAAACCAGTTTCAGACACAGCTTAAGATGGACCATCATCAAACACAACTAAAAGAAAAGGAAAGGAAGGCATAATTTTCAGCCGAAGCAAGATGAGCACGCATTGTTAATTCTGATAGCACTAAAATTGCATTCATGTGGCCATAATCTTTTTGCTTTTAAAGCTTTTCTACTTCTGAAGAAGAAAATCAAATTATACCCACAAGCAAGATGAACTAAACCCTTCACTGAATTATGATTTGGGTTTTGCTAGGGTATAAATAGATATCTTCCAAGACGCAAACCAGGATACTACCAAAGAGGTGCTAAGTGCTAACAACAATATAACTTCTGTTGACTACAGATAATCTTTTCAGGTAATAGTGAAAGCTATTTCTTCCGTCAGGAACCAAACCATTACAAGGACAAATCCAAGGTTAGTCACAAGCAAAAGAGTTATAAATCAAAACCTACAGCTAATAAACTGGGGCTCTTCTCCCCTTTTTCCCCACTCTCCAGTCACTAGAAACCTACATATCAAGTAATGAACACAAGTTGCCTATGGAATTCAGTAATAACAATCAATTTCCGTACCATTGCTGGACTTTACGGAACTCAGTGAGAACCGGGTATATATTCTCAAATGCAGTATATGTCTCGTCTCGGACCTGTAAATAAAATATGTTATGATTAAAATATTTAACGATGCAGATCAGGGCAGTACAGCAAAATAACATGATGATAACACGACAAGGACAGCTATATGTCACACTACCTTTGCTCCTGTGAGAACAATCTTCCCAGAGACAAAAATAAGCAGCACAATCTTTGGTTGTTTCATGCGATATATTAATCCAGGGAACAGTTCTGGTTCATACTGTACCAACAGATGATGTCATCAGTACGATAACGATAATGGGAACAAGCAATTGAGCCAAAACTAGAGCTCCTCCACCCAAGAAAAATCTTAACGCCCTAGCTATATTTTATAATTTACAATTCGTTCTTCAACTGTTAGTGATATATATAAATAGCCCCATTGTGTTCGAATCCTGTAGCACTGGTGTTGTCGGCAAGTCGGGTTGTTTGGAAATACATCCCAATCAGAAGGTAAATTCCATCAAAGGCTAAATACAAGCGAGATACCAATAGTGAACAAGTACCATGAGAGAGATGAAAAGAATTTCGAAAAAAGAGTCGAAGTGTTTGAAATTGTTGGAAGGAAAGTGGATGAGGGTCAACGATGCGTCCCGATCAGATGTGGAACAGTAATGAGCACGTCTGCCCACTCGAGGAGTGGACCAGCATAAATTGAGGCGGAGCCAAAGCCCAGACAATCGATATGCTTGTGGAATCCCGTCGCCCCCATTGTGGCGGACACTGTGCACCTTCGACGTGCTTCGGCATCTGCGTGTTCCAAATGCTAGCATGTGGGCTTCAGTATCATTAAATTCATTACTAAGTTGATAATATCATCATTTAATTCTCAACCATTACTCTATCATCTACGTGTTTGTGTGCATGCATGTATATTCTTTTTTCCTTCTTGGTATGTACATGCATATTTTTTCCCTTGGTGTATATGATTGTATTTATTGTTTTCAATTGATGCTTTTACATTTCAACTTTCAGGATTTTGATTGATTAGCGTAAGTTGTTCAGGTATTTGTAGAACTCATCATCACTAATCGCTCAGATTTTTTTCTTGTAAAAGGGAAATAAATTAAATGCCTTCGAAAATGGAATGTATTACTATATAATATAAATATTTCTTAACCTTGCCTTTTGGATGCAATTTCAATGTTGGTTAATGTTGACAATAAACACTAAACAAATAAGCTACCCATTTTCATTTACAATTCAAACTTGAATATAAATAAATTAGAAAAAAAAAATCTATTCTCCAATTCAATATTTAGCTCTTGTTTGGTCCCCATTTTCTAAAATTCATTTTTCCTCAAATTCTTTTTCAGCCACACATTTCATCAACTTTTATCAAAATATACTAAAAATTTGATTTTTAACTAAACCAGAGGAGCTTAAGCATTTTGATGACGTGACTTGATGTAGATTCATAATAAGTGAATTTTTTTAGTTCAACTTTCCTATCCCCAAATTCCAGAAAATTTCGTGTCAAAACTTTATTGAGAAAATGAATACAATTAATTAAATTTATGGAAAAAATGAGTTTCACAAAAAAAATTGGGTAACTCGAGACTATTTAATTCGACATTTTATGTCATTTTTAGATGAATTGTGCATAAGGCATATTGAATAATTTTCATCCAATTTCTCTAAAATATATATACTTGAAATAAAAAAAATGTCACAACATTGTTTTAAATACTAGTAAAAAAAAATGCTTCATAAATATGTCACAACGTTCCAGCATGTATTGCATACTAGTAAAAAAATGCTTCATAAAGAAAAACATAGAACTTATATTTCTTTAAAGCTTCGGCCTGTTAAATGCATTGTTCTAAAAAGCACGCTTAGGCGACATTTAACACGAAGCGTGGGCAAAAAGCCTTGCTTCGAGCCTAGAAGCGTTTTTTTTTTCAATATAGTATTTTATAATTTTAGATATTTGGTAGGTATTATTAAATAATTTTTAGACTAATTAAAAATTAAAAATACTATTAAACGCCTAGGTCTCGCCTAACTCGAAGTTTGGCATCCACACCTAACTACGCCTTACGCATTTATGGTTAAAAGACAACTTACTTTTTAGGACAGATATAACCTTTACGACACATTTGTCTCCTTGTTTACTGTACCACGATTTCCTTTAAAATTGTCTCGTCCCTTAATTCTTGTAAAGACCAAAGGTTAAAGTGATATAAAAAATAAAAGAACAATTTATTCAATACTTCAGATACTCCAAATTAAGTTGTATCAAATACCAACCCTTTAATAAATATATCTCTGCTATTTGTTGGACATACCATTAAGTAAAGTTTCCGACTATAGAATTTGAAGTGTGCATAACAAGATAACTAAAACTATAAATTCTGAAATCTACTAGCACATAATAATTAAAAAAAAAAAGAGTAAGATACATGACAATTACCGAACAGCTAATATTAGTTCGAACAAAGTGATCCTCACCAAAATACCATAAAGCACACATGGAGCTAGTCCATCCTGCCATTAATTATCCCGACACTGAAATGTAAAACTAAGCGTACAAATTATAAACTAGGATTGAATAACTTACACTTGAAAAGGCACCATGAGCATATGCAAGACCTTCAAGTCTAATGGGAAATTTGACATCACATGAGCCAACTATATTTTGAATCTTGAAATCCTACAAGATAATGAAGGCATAACGTGAAACAGAATAGTGGAGAAGTGTCAAATCATAAACACCAGCTCATTGAGTGCCAAGGCACGGGTGTGTTTCTTTTGGATCAATGGGTAATAGCTATAATTACCTTAAATTTCGCTGCAAAACCAAGCTTTTGAATAATTCTGGCATACTGAAAAGAATAGAACACATGAATACAAGAGATACTTAACAATGCAAGAAAAAATCGTCTCGTGAATTGACATCTTGGCAAATGGCAGCAATTTCAAATTCACAAATTAGCAGAAAATCATTAGTCAACAAAATCCAAGGTTCTATAAACATCATTTTCAACACCACCTA